TAGACATATCCTGATCAACTCAGGCTAAATGACCCCCTCTGGGTCCTAACCCTTTGGGGCTGAACTGTAAGGACATCTGTGGGACTCAGCTGATGGCCTCTCGACTGTCCCACAAACTGGGGGATTCTGTTCTCTCTCTGAGACAGAGCCACCCCACCATCTTGCACCTGAGGATGCCTCCAGGCAGGGTTTTCCAAGGCCCAGAAAAATGGCAGCCAAAATTGCCGGAGCCTGGGCACCCACCTCTAAAGGAGGTGGAGGGGAAGAGGCAGGCAGGCCTTGATGGATCCATCTGAGTCCCGCGTTTCGAACTGGCAGAGGCAAGGGGTTTCAGAAGCCCACCTGGAATGCTGTCACTGGTAGCTGCGTCCTAGAGGGTAAAGGGGGTACTGGAGTCCCCTGGCTTCCCTCACCTTCTCTGTCTCAGCCTCTTCCCTCTTTTCGTTCCTTCTTTCTCTCTGCTTTCCCCCTCCCCCTCCTCTGTTCACAAAAGCTCTCTGTACACAGCCACTTCCTCTGGCTGCTGTCTCTGAGCCCAGACCTTATGAGAACCATATGGGGAAAGAGGGTGGACGAGAAGAGGGTGGGGGAAGCCGGCTGGGCCCGCCTCTCCAGCCAGCATCTTTCCACCGCCCTCGGCTATGAGCATGGCGCTTGGCACACTGTGCCCTAACCTTCTCTAACTGGATCCTTGTGGCTTCATGCATGAGTCTCAGTCCAGAGCTGGATGGAGGCCCATCGAGAGATCTACACAAGAACCACCTCCCTGAGGCACGGGCACTCAAAGCACAGTAAATGGGCTATGCGGTATCCACGCACCACCCATCTCCTACCTCCCCTCCCACTGCCAAACTCCCAGCACAAATAACCAGCCAGAAGCGCCTGTAATCCTAGCTACCCAGGAGTCTGAGATCTGAGGATCAAGATTCAAAGCCAGCCTGGGCAAGAAAGTCCTTATCTCCAATTAACCACCAGAAAAAGCGGAAGTGGTGCTGTGGTTCAAGTGGTAGAGCACTGGCCTTGAGCTGAAGAGCTCAGCGACAGCGCCTAGGCCCAGCGTTCAAGCCCTATGACCAAAAAAAAAAGGCAGTGTGGGCATATCTCATTATTTGATTGCTAATGACCCCTTCTCCTCAATATCCCTATCCCAGCAGGCCATGTGGTCAGCAACCCTCCTCGCAGTGGGCGGCTTTGCCTGTCTCATGGTTGCCCTCACCTAGCCTACAATGGTCTCAAGTCAAAAAGGCCTGGGCCTGCTGGGAGAAGGTGGGTTTTTAAAGTAGTTTTTGTACTCTCTATGTGACTATGTAACTGCAACCCCTCTTTACATCACCCTTACAAGAACAAAAAAAAAAAATTAAAGTAGTTTCTTAATTAAGTTCCAGTGGCTTACACCTATAATCCTAACTACTCGGGAGGCTGAGATCTGAGTATCATGGTTGGAAGCCAGACAGGAAAGTCCATGAGACTCAATTAAACAGTAAAAACCCAGAAATAGAGCTTTGTCTCAAGAGGTAGAGCTCTATGCTTGAGCAGAAAAAGCTAAAGGACAGTGTCTAGGCCTTGAGATCAAGTACCAATATTGGCACAAAATAAAAATATAGGTAGTTTTTGTGTCCAATCAGTCCCCAAATCCAAGTAGGACCTTCTTGACCGAAATGCTAAGAGAACTCTACGAGTTAATCCCTTACTGACCCCACCTGGTGCTAGCTCTCCACTCCTTCCATAGCGGCCTGTTTGCTCAGCAGTAAGAGTAGGGGCAGGACTTGCTTATCTGTAAGACCCTGTTCCGAGCAGACAAAGTAGGAATTTATGACACTCAGAGGCAACTCAGATGACCTGGGAGGTCTTCACAGGAGATCCTCACAACTTATCTGATATCAGCCCTGTTCTGGAATTCCTTATTCTCAGACCCTTCCCCCTCCCTCTAAGTCCCAGAGCTGAGAACCAGAGGGCAGGCCCTCAGCAGCTGCCCAGAAGTAGGGGGAGGCATGCTGAACCCTCCTACAGTCAGCTCCTCCACCTCCCTGTAAAAAGCCACCAACTCTGGGACCTTTCTCCTCAGGGGAGGCCCATAAAGACTCCAGCTCTGGACAAGAGTATTTGTGCCCACAGCTGCCTTGCATACTAGGTTAGGAGGCTGGGGGTGGGGCAGATGGATCAGGAAGGAAGCCAAGAACTCAGCTTTCCTGGAAAACTTCGAATGAAAAGTCCACAAGAGGAGAAAATTAAGGGGGAAAAAAAAGACAAAAAACAAAAAAACCCAAAACAGAAAATAAGCAAAAGGGTGTGGGGAGAGGGAATAGAGTCTACAAACACAGAAAGCAGAGTTGAGATAGTAGGATGGAGGTAAAGCAGGCTTGCTTAGTGAAATCAACACAATTGTTCACAGAATCCCGGAACTGGCCAGAGCTCTCTGTAAACTAGGAAGGGAAGCCCCTGTAGACAGGGACTTTATCTAGCACCTGGAGTCCCAGCATTCATTGTCTTCTAGGCTTTCTAAGGTGGAGTGCTAAGTCCTGGGAGGATGAATGGGGAAATAAGAGATTCCTGGGGATGTAGGGGTGATGGGGATGTTGGGGAAGGAGAGTAGTTACAATGCAAACATAGCTCAAGTCCTGTTGCTTGCCCCAGGTGACAAGTCATAAGGTGAAAGGGAAAATCTATGTGGAAAAGAAATTAGGAGAGGGCAGAAGAGGAAATGGAAGGCACATCATTTTCTTCCTATTGTTTGTTTTGAGAAAAAGGCTCCTTATGTAGACCAAACTTGCCTCAAACTCTCAAGCCTCCTACGTTCAGCCTCCTGAATGCTAGAATTACAGGCATGGAATTTACAAGCCCCAACATACTCTTGGCCTTGTGTTCTGTTGCCTGGTAGAAGTGGCAGCTTCTTCCCAGCCCTTATCTTCTTTCTCTCAACATTCTGGGGCATGGTGGAATGCTAGGACAGAACCCCAAGGAATGCATGCCCAGCTTCTGCTGGAGAATCTGGGTTTTGTTTTTTTCTGAGGCCAATTTGGGGGCTTAGGAGACAATACCAGGATCACAAATAATGTGGGGTTAAGAAACATGTCTGCCTGGTAATTCAGTTGAACTCAGAGTTGGCAAGCCATGAGCTTCTCAAGGGCTCCCAGGTCCTATCTGATCCTTTGTCACTATGGGGATGTACAGCCAGGCTGGGAGGTGGGGTGGGAAAGGTACCTAAGGCAGCTAGGACAGTGGCTAGAGAAGAAAAGGGGAGCCTTTCCTCTAAGGAGGGTTTGGGATGGGAAGATGAGCTAGGAGTCAGTCTGCTACCACCCTGTCACAATATATTCTCACCAACGATTGGCCCACTCTCTCCTTGGAGTGGCGTCCATGGGAATTTGCCACGGCTGGAAAGCATTAGTTGCCAAATCATTTTAAGATGTACTACAGAACCAGTTTTCTTACCACCCCCCTCCCCTTCTGCTTTGGCTATGTTAGGATTCCCTAATTCCGACCAACAGACACATAGGGATCACTCAAAGGAGAGTGTGCAGAGACACGGAGCATGCGTGTAAAACACACCCCACTCAGCACTGAACTATCATTGTGTGGCTGTGGCTTGCACAGACCCCAGCCCCACTATTCCACACAGCCAGACTTTTTATTTTCCTCCTCCAGAGGTGAGTGGGCTCCTGGGGAATGCCTAGGCCTGAAGGGACCCTTGGGCACCAGTGCACACTTGGGGGGTTGGGGTGGGGGATGTGGTGCTGAGCTAACGCTGGTCCCTTCTCTGCCACTGTCATATCCTTGAGCTGAAGGAGATCAGAGAGGGCAGACATCACGCCTCTTCTTCAAGGCACACATGCACACACACCCCAGCTGGGAAAAACGCAGGCCAGGCAGTAAACGTCATAGGCTGACCAGTTGTGTCCTGTCAGGAAGCGGGCAGCCTCTGAACTCACCCAACCAGAGGCGTTACTGTATTGTTCTGGACACAATCGAATGGAAGTAGCCAGCCCCAACTCTGGGCAAGGTGGGTGGAGAAACAGTTGCCACGAGGGTCAGGAGGACAGGGAAGGGGAAGCAGCTTTTAGGACAGGAAAGTAAGGGGCAGCCGCCAGGACGCTACCCTCAACGTCCACGACGTGAGTGGAGCTCGCCGCACATGGTCAGTTCAGGAAACCGCGGGGCTGCGGAGGGGTCGGGAATGCTGAGACCTGGGGTCAGGCTGATGCTGTGGAGCCCTCGCTGGTGGCCAGCAAAGCAAGGGCTGGACGGGGCCCTGGGTTGAAATGAGAATCGCAATCACAGAAGGAGGCCAGGAGGCACGCGCCTCCCTTAACCGTTTCTTTCTTCCTGATCTTTGCGCAAAGAAGGCAAGGAGTCCAAGCTCGAAAGAGCTCAAAAGAACAGACAGGGCCGCAGGATCGGGCACAAGCTCACCACACAAACGCTCACAAGTGGGAAAGCGGACCCAAAGAGGAGTCAGGCGCTGGGACCTCACGCAGACCAATAGCACGAGTCCCCAAGGACAGACGTTTCCAAGCTCACCCTCCTGGCTCTCGTGAGGAGTCGGGCTGTTAGACGGACCCACAGGCCCGCAGCCCCAGGGAAAGGATGGGGATGATCCCAATTGGAGGTGCCAGACCCGCCCAGTAAATCCGGGAGTTTCCTCCGGAGATTCAGCGGCGGCGCTTAAGGACCTCAGTCACTTATTGGGCCGCGGGCGTCATCTTTCAGCAACCCTCTCCACGCCCGCCCGCTCGGGTCTCCAAAGTCCGAACCCAGCCTAGGCTTAAGAGGAGGAGCGCGGGCCTCCCGCTAGCGCGCCTTCCACCCACCTGTGCAGGTGAGCGGCGCGCACCGCGCCTCGCCGGGGCGCACCGACGCTCCCCTCCCTCTGGGCTCCACAAGCCTCCGCCCGGCCTCGACGTCTGCCAGCTCCCCGGCGCCGGGCCTCGGGCCTGTCCTCAGCGCCCCCCCCCCGTCTCGCCCTCCCGCACCTCCGTTCGTGCAGTGGGTAGGGTACTCACAGGGTAACGGTGCCGTTGGGCAGCAGGCTGGGCTCGGGAGGCTCCGGGAGGTCTCCGCCACCGCACACCACCCTTCTGCGCGCCAGGTTGGGGGCGCCGCTGCCCAGTCCCTTGGGCCGCTCCCCAGAGCACTTGCAACTGCGGATGGGGACGGGGCAGCCGGGAGCACCCCCAGCCTCGGGCGCCAGGAGCAGCAACAGCAGCAACGGCAACGGGAGGCTCGCGGACGCCCTCCGCATCCTGCGTCCCCCCAAGCCCATCAACCCATCGCCCCGCGGGGACCCGCAAGCGCTGGGG